AAATTGAAAAAAAAAAAAACTAATGAAGGATCATGTACATTTCTATTCTAGTACTAGGGCTTGACACCCCGCTGCCGCCCAGGCACGTATGCTTCACCAACGCCTTTTAAAAATTAGTTTTATGTCAAACCTGTGGCTTAACTTTAAAGAAAAAAATCAGTAATCAGTTGGTCCTGTAATTCACGTAAAATGAAAGATCAGTTTTTAATCTCCTTGTACCCTATCATGCTTAGATCAATGGTCATTCTGCTTGGTGTACAAAGAATGGGGGAATAAAATGTATCTATTTACTAGCGAGTACCCGGCATGCGTTGCAATGCCTCTCAAATAAATAAGTGTTTGTGTTTAAATTGTTTAATTTTCCTTGAAATAATTTTTATATACACACTAATCTTACAGTCTTGTGTGGACTTTTAATAAATGAGAAGGTTTTTCGAAACGTGAGCAGGCCACACACAGCTTTCCATGTGAGAAGCACGGATGTTCAAAATGTAGTCCACACAGTAGTAGCAATTGATCCATCCATGCAATAGCTATTTTTGAAATTATATTTATATAGCTCATTTAGTACATATAAACAAATTTGGGGCCACCGGCCCCAAACGGAATATTGTAAAATGGTTGTACTTATTCAGAAACCTTTTGAGGGCGTGCACACAACATCTCACCAAAGCTTTATCGCAATCATATGAAAGGTATAGGAACGCATACGGAAATCATATTTAAATATTAAATAGCTCATAACAGAAACAAAAAAATTAGGGCCCCCGGTCCAAAGCTAAATATTGCAAAATCGTTGTACTAATTCAGAAACCTACTAAATTATGTCCACTGAAATGGAAATATCGCTGTTTGTATTTGATTCAATTCCGTGAATTGTGCGCACGACCGCAAAGGTTTTTGAATCAGTTCAACCGTTTTAACACATTCCGTTTTAGGCAAGGGGGCGCTAAATTCGTTTTCTCTTTTATGAGCTATATGAATATAATTTCAAACAGAGCGGGTGCGTGGGTGGATGGAATTGAACACAAATAGTGACATTTAAGTTTAAGTGTGACACAATAAGTAGGTTTCTGAATTAGTACAACTATTTTACAATATTCCGCTCGAGGCGTGGGGCCCTAAATTCGTTTTTTTTTTCTTCTTATATAAGCAATATTATTTCCGCATGTGTTCTAATACCATTCATCCGACTTCGATAAAACTGGTGAGTGTTTATGAATACGCCTGCAAAGTTTTCTGAATTAGTACAACTATTTTACAATATTCCGTTTTGGGCCGCAAGGGGGAGTGGGGGTGGCTAAATTTGTTTTTTTGTTTTTTTATTTCTATTAAGAGCTATATAAATATAAATATAATTTTAAACATAGCTAATGCATGAGTGGATGGCATTTAATCAAATCAAATACAACTAGCTACGTTTAAGTTTGTGTGTAACATAAAAGTTAGGCTTCTGAATTAGTAAATCCATTTGGGTGTGGCCTGCTCACATGGACAGCTGGGTGTGGCCTGCTCACATGGACAGCTGGGTGTGGCCTGCTCACATGGACAGCTGGGTGTGGCCTGCTCACATGGAAAGCAGGGTGTGGCCTGCTCACATGGACAGCTGGGTGTGGCCTGCTCACATGGAAAGCAGGGTGTGGCCTGCTAGGGTGTGGCCTGCTCACATGGACGGCTGGGTGAGGCCTGCTCACATGGACAGCTGGGTGTGGCCTGCTCACATGGACAGCTGGGTGTGGCCTGCTCACATGGAAAGCTGGGTGTGGCCTGCTCACATGGACAGCTGGGTGTGGCCTGCTCACATGGACAGCTGGGTGTGGCCTGCTCCCATGGACAGCTGGGTGTGGCCTGCTCACATGGACAGCTGGGTGTGGCCTGCTCACATGGAAAGTAGGGTGTGGCCTGCTCACACGTCGAATAGTGTATTCGTGTACGCACGAGACGGAGGGGAAAAAAAATACTGACTATATAAAAATTACACGTAATTAAAACACAAACCCTTTTTTTTTTTCATTGAGAGGCATTACAACGCATGCCCGATACTCGCTAGTATAAAAAAAAATTGTGGTACGCACGTGAGTCACTGATCTCATGAACTTAATTTGGGTGAAGACAATGGGTTGATTGGCCCTGCTCAGTGCTGTGGCAATCCCCTATTCCAGAGGTCGACAACCATTTTTTTGGAGGAGCCATTTTTTAAAATAAATTTTATTATTTTTATATCTGCCAAGAAAAGGGACCTTAAATTAATTTTTATGAATTTTTTATAATAAAAGTTTAAACGCTTACATTTTTGAACGTCAAAAAAAAAAAAAAAAAAAAAAAAAAAAAAAAAAAGAATGTCCTCACCGGAGCTCTTTTATAAAAGGGAAGTAACTTTTGTATAAAATAGTTCCTTACCTTAATTATTAGAATACATTACCTTTTCCCGTAGCTATGGTGATTAGTATCAAAATGGCCGTGAAGTTAAAGTTATCGTGAATTTAATAATGGATGATACCAATAAAATCAGTCAGTGTCACGTACAGTTAAAGACAACAGCAGTTAAACACAGAACCAATTTTTCACCCTCACTGCCACATTTGTTAACTGAATATGGCTTTCAAGATAAGGAAGCTGAGAGACTTAAAAAGGTTTAGTTTTCAAGATCAATTTTCTGAAAAGTTTTCAATCATTAATGAATTATTTCATGACTTCGGGCTCGGCTCATTATGAGCCTCATAGTCATAGTATATTTAATTATTATGGTCAATTTTGGGGCAATATATTCAAACTTATTGGAATTTGGAATGATATCGGCTATCTTAAAATATTGGTATACACTGCATTTGCATTAAGTGATAATTCCGGAACATGCTAGATCTAGTTGTTAAAAAAACTTTTCTTTTAAATTTAAATGTGCAAGTGTAAGTATAGTGATATAGCCTGTGGCTGTGATGACGTGTATTTCTTATAATGTAAATAAGCCTATATGTAAGGTTATGTTGTTTTAAAGTACCTTGGACAAGCTGGTGCTGTGTATTAATTTAATAATCAACTCATAATATATATTTAATATTATTTAAGTTTAAGCAACACTTTCACTTAGACTTTTCTTTATAGTGTAGGCCTATTTATTATAAATTAATCATTTCATTATTATTTTTAATTTTATTAAAATTAAATAATACTAATACTATATAGCCCTTGATCTCCACTCAGTGGTATGAGAAGTGGGTGGGTGGGGCTGGAGGGAGGGTCCCAGTTACACTTTGTTCTTTATATAAGAATGGGCTGCATTTTCTGTGAAAAAGAATGAACTCTTAATTTAAATTTACTATTGATTACCACGAGGGGTCGCAATCCAGGATCCCGACTCTCGAAAATACCGGAATTCTGGACCATGATTGATGCTTGAAAAAACCGGGATTGGATTTATGAAAACCGGGATTTTCAATAATCCCGGGATTTAATGTTCAAAAAAATATTTATCGCTTTTCTTAGTTTCTATGTCGTAGTTCAAGCAAGACATATCAATAATTTATGTGATGTGAAAGTGCTAACCCCCCACACCATGTGTATCAAGTTGAAAGAGAGCTGACTGACGGGCTAAACCTGTGTACTGTTCATTTGTCAACAAACACGCATTGTGATTAGTTTTGTTTCTACATAGTACATTTGTAGTGCGTGTGTAGTTTGTAAGCGGAAACGTGACTCGCGACGTTATGGTACATGATTGGAAAGTAAATGTTTTTATATTATTAACAAATAAATGGAATAGTCGAATGAAGATAGAATGTTGACTTACATTAACAATTTGTTTGTAACATGAAATATATGGAAAGAATAGCACGCTGCATTCGAATCAAGGGGTAAACTTTTAATAACAAAAATGTTTGATTGCTTGATTTCCTTTAATTATGCTATAGTATCTACATATTTAAAACTATGAGTAAAGCCGTATTTGGATAATCAAATACCTTAAATTAAGACTTAGAAAAAGTATGTTGCTACTAATTTTGTGAAAACAATATTAATAATTCACATTCACCTCATAATTGATTTTCTAGCTATTTTGTCACAGGGTGAAAGTCCCCGTTTGTCTGTACCATACTTAGCCAAACAGTTACATGAAAATTTAAACATTTTTTAAAAAGTTGTTCATGTCAAACCAAATAGATTTAATAAATATTTTTTTTTTAATGATTTATTTTCCCTTCATGTTGATAGAAAGAAATGGGGGACACTGAATAAAATAAACCAAAATATGAAAAGCGTATGATTTTCCCTTCATGTTGATAGAAAGAAATGGGGGACACTGAATAAAATAAACCAAAATATGAAAAGCGTATGAAACTATTGGAAGCAAAGACATCATTTTGGTATTGTGGAGTCTGAGCGGAAGTTCTCGTCATCTGGTTATTTTTGTTACCATTTGCCCTAAAAATTTAGCGATCAAACATTAGACATGTTGTTATTTTTACGATCTCATTATTTAAATTTGACCAAAGATTAAAAGTACACAAATTATTGTAACATTTGATAATGTCTGAAGTTAGACATTTGTTATTGTTAAAAAATTATTAAAAACTAAATTGCTATTTCTTTTTTATTTTTTTTATTCTTTTTAATAAAGCATCACCTCTAATCTCAACAAAAAATTCTCTAAATATTGACAATATCGAAAATATCGGGATTTTGGTATTCGTAAACTTCAATATCGAAAATACCGGTTTTGGTAAAAGGGACCGGTTTTGCGACCCCTAATTACCACTCAATATTATGACTATGAAATATTGGAACTATAGTTGGTTAAATTCTATATAGTGTATTAGTTTTTTTATGCTGACCCAGTTAAATTGACATATTAGGTAGAAAAAAGAAGCAAAATAGAAAAAAAAACTGGTCATGAACTAGGACATGGTCATTAAAGGCAAAACTTGAGAAATTTTTTCTGTTGACTTAAAATAACAAGCCCACTGCTGGCCTACGTGATAGCTGGAATATGTGACAGCTGGAATAATATAGGCTTACACAAAATATTAAAGAAAATTATGCTTTAGAATTCCTCTGCATGCAGAAGTTAGGACCCATGAGAAGCCACCATTTAATAAATTTAACTTCAGATGCTGCCATTGTGATTTATATGCATATTAGTGTCAGTACAGGTTATTATTAGTCTATGTTCAATAAATCTCTATAATATTTTGATCACAAATTCAATGCTTTGATTTTATGCCTCTCCTTGGTATCTATCTATATTTAAATATAAATATAAATATATATATATAAAAATATCTTCTTCTATATATTAAGGGCCCACAATCAATTTATTGTTCATTTTGGCTCATCTGCATGTAGAGGAGATTTGCAATGTTTCTGTGCCTGGTGTTGATGAGGACATTTCAATGATTTCCAGTGCCACTTTGTGAGGGAATCATGCACTGGGATTTGAAGGCTTGAGGCAATAGACAAAAAATGAGTCTAGTGTTGTCGCCTCAACTGTTCCTTTTGAAAACTTGTTCCAGTTCCTATACTGGCTTCTTGCTGGTATGAGCCTGAATTGCCTGTCATGGCCTCGTCGCTGTCTATGGGGGAGAGGGACGAGTTTCTGTATAATACTGGAACAGTGGACCAGCCCATTATTTATCTTGTACATCATGGAGAGCCTGGATTGTCGTCGTCGTTCCTCCAATGGTGACCAGCCCTAGTGTTTCCAACATGCTGCCAACACTAGAGGTATTCCTGTAGCCGCTTAGGACAAAGCATGCTGCTCGTCGCTCGACCGCCTCCAACCTGTCAATGCTCTTCTGGGTAAATGGGTCCCAGACTGAAGATGCATAATCTAAAACCGGACAGACAAAGGCTTTATATGCTCTTTCTTTCACACAGGAGTTGCCAATCTTTAGATTACGCCTTAAGAACCCCAGGGTCTTGTTTGCTTGGTCACATACATTGTTAATATGCTCGTCTCAGCGGACCTCTCTTTGAATGGTAACACCCAGGTACTTTACGGAGGAAACTGGGTCAAGTATATGGCCGTGCATTTCGTATTGGTAGTGTAGAGGAGAACACCTTCTAGAAACTGATAATGTCTGGCACTTGGCAGGGTGAAATTCCATGTCCCAGCTCATCTCCCACTCAGCTAACAGATTGAGATCCTGTTGTAGCTGGTCGTGGTTAGAGCTGTTGGCGATCGTCCTATATACTGCTGTGTCATCTGCGAACAGTCTTGCTTGGGATGTCAGTTTCTCTGGTAGATCATTAATGTATGCTAGGAACAAACAGGGGCCTAGCACTGATCCCTGGGGGACCCCTGACTTCACATCGACAAAGGAGGAGCTTGTACCGTCCACCACTACTGCTTGGCATCGGTGGCTGAGGAAGCTAGAGATCCATGTTTTAGTGGTGCCTTGGATCCCATATCTCTGGAGTTTGTGTAGAAGCAAACTATGATTCACATGGTCAAATGCCTTTGCGAAGTCCATCACCAGCACGTCAGTCTGCTTGTGGTTCTCCAGATTTGTCATCAAGTCTTCTACAAATTCAAGAAGCTGGGTCTCACATGATCTATTGGCTCGGAAGCCATGTTGACAATCATTGAGTATATTTTGGCTTTCAAGATGCATCATGACTGTGCTTACGATTATGTGCTCCAACAATTTGCAGACCATGCTGGTGAGGGATATCGGACGATAGTTGGCAGGGTCGGAATGCTCCCCTTTCTTGTAGATTTGAGTGACATGCGCTGTTCTCAAGTCTGCTGGAACATTTCCTGTGCTCAGCGACGATTGTAAGAGGATTGTCAATGCAGGAGCGATTTCTTTGGCCAATTCGTTGAGCACTCGTGGTTTGATGTTGTCAGGACCACATGCTTAAGGGTTTTGAGGAGGGCAAGCACACCCTGTTCTGATATCTGGATATCTTCCATGACAGGGTAGGCTCTGTTCATCATTTTGGTCTTCAGAAGGAACTCAGCCTCCGAGTGCTCTCTACCGTCACCAAAGACCGACTGGAACTGCTGATTGAGTATGTCAGCCTGTGCTTTTGGGTCAGATGTCAATTGGCCATCCCACCTCGGGGGGGGGGGGAACTCCAGCGTTTGAGGACTTTTGGTGCTTCAAATAGCTCCAGAAACGCTTATTCTTGACATCTTTGGTCGGGGTGTCTTCCTCTGAGAAGATACCGTTCATGTAGTTCCAATATGATCTGCGCAATAAGCGTTGAATGGATCGGCGGAGCCTAAGTACCTACCCTCTCAGTTCAATCGAGCCATGTTTCTTCATTCGTTTGTATTGGCGGTCTCTCCTATGGTTGAGCCTACGGATTTTAGCCGTGACCCATGGCTGATTTATCTTAGGTTTGGTGATCTTGTGTGGTATGAATTTCTTCACTGCATCAGTGATTGTTGTCTTTAACTTCACCCACAGCTCTTCTGTTGTCGCTGAACCCTGAATCCCCTGCATGTTTGAGCTCAGCTCTGTCGTTGCAATCCTTAGGTCATTCCAGTCTGCCTTGGCATAAATTGGGATTTCGCATATGATCTGTTTCTTTTTTAGTGTGTTGACCTGAAATTCACAATATGGAATGCAGTGGTTCGATATCCCGGGGATGACCTCAACTTTTGGGACACGATGTGGACAATTGGGGAGGAATAGGTCAAGAGTGTTTTCCCCCCTCGTGGGTTCTTTAACCAGCTGTTCCAGACCATGGTTATTAATTATCTCCATGAATTCTGAGTGTAGAACAGGGTATGGGGACTTGGGCTTCAAGGCAGGAATCTGCCAGTTTCAACCAGGAAAGTTAAAATACCCCCCCCCCCCTTTTTTTATAAGGAGAAAAGCGTTATTTGACTGTGTTAATCTGTGAAGCGATACCCCGTACCTCCTCAGGCTTGGTTCATCTGCTGTGTTGGGTCGGTAATAGGCACAAACGTAAAGTGTGCGTCTACCCTTTAGTTTTAATTTCACCCACAGGATCTCGCAGTCGTCAACATCTAGTTCTGGAACAGCGTGGCAGTCCAGGTTGTGATGGACAGCAACAAGCACTCCTCCTCCTCTGTCTTTTCTGTCGACGAAATAATTTGTACATATCCGGTACAACCTCTGCGTTTGCTATGGAGGGATTCAGCCATGTTTCTGTGCCCAAGATGATGTCGGGTTTTAGGCTGTTAATTAGGTTTGCTATTTCTACTCTCTTACCACTCGCAGACTGGAAGTGTACATTTAATATGCGCAATGGCCTGTGTCTCCATTTAACTTGCTGACTGCAACGCATAGGAATAGAGCAGTGTGGTGGTTGAAAACTTCGGATGTCCATTGGTGTGGAGCTTGAGGGATTCAGAGAGAAATCTAGGAAGGTAGAGTCTGTCCCTCCACTATGTGGGTCAAACACAGATTGGCTAATCTGGCAACAGCAGACAGTACAGTACCACGGCACTTCAGAATTTTTAGCATGTTGGTTGTAATTAGATGTGTCGATACTTTGGCATTGACCATGGAACCATTGCCCACATTGTTCACATTATTTAATATATATATATATATATATTTATTAAATCCTGTTTATCACAGTAAGCATATCAGCACCTTTAGCAAGTAATATTTACTAATGAAGAAGTTTAAAATTTGACAAAAATTAATTAATTTATTAGTTTTTTAATTCTTTAAATAAAGTATTATTAAATCACATTACTATTTAGTAATAATTAAAAAAATTTTAAAATCCATGGCATTGCTGTGTAAATTACCACTCTACCAACTTTCGGTTATGCACCAAAATGAGGTAATGTATTTTACACAAATTATTTTTTGAGCTGGATAGGCTCAGTGAGCACCACCCACCCAGCCCCCACTTTGGCTTGGGGAGCCCTTAAATTTCTATCTCCCCTTACCCCCATGTCTGTTCCAGGGCGATTTAGTGCATATGACAGGGAAAGTGCTATATCAAGGTTCATAATTACCAGGTTTCACTGTGTGAAAACCACTCTCTCTCTATATATATATATATAATATATATTTATGTTGTCGGGGGGGGGGGTTCAAAGAAAGATACCTGCTACCACATTGTCTCACTAGGCCCCTGGCTCCACTTATTCACTTGCTGCAGACAGAGATTCCATCTTCCCACTCAAAGTTCTGAAATCCATATATAATATATATTTATGTTGTCGGGGGGGGGGGGTTCAAAGAAAGATACCTGCTACCACATTGTCTCACTAGGCCCCTGGCTCCACTTATTCACTTGCTGCAGACAGAGATTCCATCTTCCCACTCAAAGTTCTGAAATCCAACCAAATTCACAATCCACTACAAAAAGGTTTTTGATTTGACAGTTTCTAATGACTAATCTATTATAAAAGTTTTCTTTCTTTGCTATGAAATTGTTTTCATACAATTGTGGTACGGATTCATGATGAAAGTGTGTATGCAATAAATATGTTAAAAGCATTGTCATTGATTTCTACATATATGTATATAATATCTTTGGATAATTGGAGTTTTTTAATGTAATGATTTTCTATGGATATCCAGTTAGCTGGAGGACCTGGGGAAATTATTACCATCAAACAACTTATTTATTAGATCTTTTAAATTTAAATCAGACATCAAAATATATAGTAAAAGATTTCAAATTCACTAATACTTTCAAACTTATTTATGTTCTAGGCAAAAGAAGATGAGAAAAGGCGACGCAGGGCTGCCAAAATGCAAAAACCCGACAGTTTTGATGAATTTGAAGAAGAAAGAATTATGGCAAAAGAAAAGGAAAGAGATGAGGTAAGGAAGGTCTACTCAATACGCCTTGTAGAATAAGATTAATGAGACACAAACAATGTGTTTAAATTAAACCATAATTGTTGAGCCTTAATTATGATTAGACAAAATACAATTTCATATGTTTCGGCTTAAGGAACAAAAAAAACCATTAATATAATTATAAATTAAATTTACGTTAATGTATGTTTATCCTAACTATACTTTAAAAAAATAGAGAGACAAGAAAAGAGTGAGAATGGGTAGGCCTGCAAGTGCCTAACAACAAAAAAAAAGATCAGAAGAACGTAAAGAAAGTGGGTGGAATTACAATAACAAAGTCCAAGCATGAAAAAGTCATTGCAGCTATGTAAAATTGTGAATTTGGTTTAAACCATATAGAGTCAACGTACCAAATCTATTTATTAATTTGTTTTCCATATAAATTCTATCAGGTGTATTACTTGCATGCAATACAGCAGTAACTGCAATGTCTAATATTCCATTATGGTTAGCACTTTTGAAATGTTTAGAAAATTGGACAAAGATCTTATTTATTGGTGTTGTAAAGTTGCTCTCTTAAATGGTCTCCAAGGTGATGACTGTTCTCCCCTACATAAGATTTTCTACACTTTTTACAAAGGATGGTTTAAATCACATTTTGACTTGTGCAAGTAAAACCCTCTTTGATTTTGAATATTTGCAGAGGGAAGTGATCTTATCAACTTCATTCACTTAAGGACATGTGTTACAGCCACTTCGGTTGCAGCATTTGGTGGCTATATCAACTTTAATGTGGCTTCTAACAGGCATTTAACTAAGGCTCTTGTCCCTCCAGAAAGCAACAAGAGGAGTTTTTTTGTTGAAAATCTAATTATTAACAAGATCTACCATAAGAATGGACTGGTTGTTAAAAACTAGATAATGAGCCATAAGGTTGTGGGGATGAAATGTTATAATGAATTTAGACCTATCATAATTTTCAAAATGGGTTTATTTAAATGAATTATGCCTGGTCATACCTTTAATTGCAGTGACAGATTTTGGCTCAGGATATAATCTGTGCCAGAAGAAAATCCCACATTTCCATCATCCTTTCCCAAAAAATCTGAATCATTGCTGCACAAAACTTTCTTAGTCTAAGCTATTGAGAAAAGGGAATGGAATTTTTACATGACAGAGGATGGGACGTTGAGTGTAGCAGGAAACTGTGACTGTCTGTTTTATAATAAATTGATGTAGATATTATTTTCTTGTTTAAGTTAATTTTAAAGTCTAAAAAAAACGGACACAACTTTTATGGAGTGTTGAAGTTGAAGTAAGATTGATTGATGGATGGAAATCCTCAATGAAGTCCAGAAAACCTTGCAATTGCATTGTATCCATGCAATTATTAACATATCTATTGTAGCATTTAAAGAAAGGACCCTTGTAGTTTTCTCTCCACTGATGTTCCAAATGGCTGATGAATAAACATGCATAACATGGTATCATTTTCATTCACATTGCAACACCACTGATCTGATAATAAAATTTGCCAATAAATTCTAACGAGTTAAGTTGTAAAATCAGCTCTGAGTTAAGTTGTAAAATCAGCTCTACCAAACATGCAATTGCACTTTTAGGATACTTAGAGTTAGGATTCTTATTCAGAAAAAAATGAAATAGCGGTAAGTCATTCAGTGTGAGGAATTGACATGGAAAATGAATAATAATAATATCCTGATGTTGTTTACATTGGGAAACTCTTTGCCCTTCCTGTTTTGATTAGTTTGATTTATGAAGTATAGTTTGGCAAATATTTTGTTATTTGATTTGTACAGTAATGTACCCAAAAAAATTTATGGTTAATTAAATTAGTGATTGAGAGGCTTCCTTACATAAATTTTATCATCAACACTATTTTTTTTATCATGACTGCCCTACAATTGTATTTTTAGTCATCTTATAGCTAAAAATAAAAACAGTATTTTAAAAAATTTATTTTTACTTGAGTTATTTTTTTTAAAAACCCATTGACTTAATAGGGATTTAATTTTTTTTTTATCACAGCAATGTTTGCAGTTTGTCAAGGATGTATACAGATTACGAGATTACTATTACAAAGAGTACAACAGCCTCTTGTCTGAAAAAGTTGAAGGACAGAGAAAAAAACTGAAAGAAATTGATGACCATTTTAAGAAAGAAAGAGAAATAAAAGAGGAAATAGAGGTACAACCTCAAAATTTATTAATATAGCTGATATTTTCTTTTTTTTAAATTAAAAAAATTAAAGTGAATAATAATAATAAGTGAGGCTGTGTAATATGAATCCCCAAATTATAATATGTTTTAAAATGATTTATTTTGTTTAAAGAAAAATGTATGAAAATATTTTAACATCCTACAATCGAATGGCAATCAGTTAAATTGTCCAATAATATACTGGTATTTCATGAATAGTTAATTAAATTAGATTTTATATAAATTTGAATAATTGTTAGTTATTTCATTGCTGTTTCTTTCTATTTAAATATTTTAAATTTTGTTAAGAGGAAAGAAAGTCACAAAGTTAAACCAAGATTGAAGCGTCACACACTTGACAAGACTCCACAAGCCATTCATGTTCCCAAAACAGATCTGTACATGGTATGTCCTAAAGAACTTCTTTCCAGATGTTATTAAAACTGCTTATATTATATATCAACATGAAATCCTTTTTATGTGAACATAAAGATTCAACATCTTTGGGATCTTCTTCTTCTATATCTTAAGGGCCCACGATCAATTTATTGATCATTTTGGCTCCTATGCATGTAGATGGGATTTGCAATGTTTCTGTTCCTGTTGTTGATGAGGAAATTTCACTGATTTCCAGTGCCAATTTGTGAGGGAATCATTCACTAGGGGTTTGAAGGCTTGAGGCAATAGACACAAATGTATCTAATGTTGTTGCCTCAACCGTTCCTTTTGAAAGATTGTTCCAGTCCCTGATTGTCTTGGGCAGAAATGATAAGCTCCTATACTGGCTTCTTGCTAGTATGAGCCTGAATTGCCTGTCATGGCCTCATCGCTGTCTATTGGGGAGAGGGACGAGTTTCTGTTTAATACTGGAACAGTGGACCAGCCCATTATTTATCTTGTACATCATGGAGAGCCTGGATTGTCATCGTCGTTCCTCCAATGGTGATCAGCCTAGTGTTTCCACCATGCTGCCAACACTAGAGGTATTCCTGTAGCCGCTTAGGACAAAGCATGCTGCTCGTCGCTGGACCACCTCCAACCTGTCAACGCTCTTCTGGTTATCATAATATTCTTGTGATAAAATTTGTAGTCATTTAAATCTGGATAAGTAAATCAGGTTTGGGAAAATTAAATTGAACTAATTGGTACTGTTTGTGTTTCTGTCTGCCGTGCGAAACATTTGAATATTCTCTTGAATACATTTCACATGATTTTTTTTTTAAACTTTTTTTTTTAAATGATAAATGAAAAAAAATCTCAACAACATTTTTTCTTTCTTTTACAATTCAATTTCAGAAAATTAGCTGACAAGAGTTAATTTGTTTTCATTGCTAGTGGTAGTGAAAGTGTATGATGACTCATGGGAACAATTAATTTTTTCAGATCATAGGACTAGAAAACAAACTGCGTAGGGAAGGCAAACTTAAAACTGTAATGGATTACAATAAGTTTCGAGCAGAAATTGAGAGGCCTGAAGTCTTTTATTCCAACTTCAAAGTGCGCAAGAATATGGGTATGGGTATTTTAAATGTTAGAATATCTGAACATTTATTTGTTAGCTAATCGGAGATAAAATGAAGGTAATTATATTTGCTTTTTTCGGATTCCCCCAAATATCAATACTTTTAAAAATAAATTTTCTAAAATTTATTTAACAACTCAGCAAGAAACTTGACAAATGAATAGGGAAAAGCTAGAATTTACATTCCATTAAGCTTAAGCATTGACTGTAATATCTGATATTTAAAAAAACTGGATGTGTGGAACAGTCATGTTTGTACTTGTAATAAAAACATGTTTACATCAGTTATACTTCGTTCACTTGCAGATTTCAACCAATATCCAAGTTCACTACAGGATCATCAATCAAGCTACAGCCAAGGAGAATCAAATGACAGTTTACATTCTCTTGAACAGAAACCTGGGCAGAAGGGAGCCCATGAGGAGTGGTCATTGGGTCGAATATCTGAGTCACAGGAGTCCAGTCGTCCGGAAACACAACCAGAAAACTGGGCTGTAACTCAATTGTATCATTCATCACATAAAGTGGGTCATTTTTTTCATGGTTGTGGTGAAAAAATAGAAAGTATAGGGAAATATAGTTTGTATTATTTATAATGCATTATTTTAATTTTATTTATAATGCATTATTTTAATTTTATTTATAAAAAAATTTATTATTATTATGAGGTATAGTTTTTAATCCAATTTATAATTAAGAGTAGTGAGTATTCCAGTTTTGCAATGTTTACTTGTTTATTTCAAATTGAGTGATTGCTTTGTCAAATGTTATCAACAGAGGAGAAATAGTTTACTCCATTCCAGCAAAGCAAGGGCAGATGAACTTGACAAAAAATTTCCAAAGGTAGTTTTATTCCTTTTTTCTCTACAGTTGAATTTCCAGTCTATATTTTTTTGTCAAGCCTTGTCTACTTATGTTTGTTTTTAGTGCAATGCTGTCAGTGTCAATTTTAGTCTTATCTGCATCTGCTTGTGTCAAGTGCTGTGCTTTTTTTACTCAAATGTTTGTATTAAGTGCTAGCTAAGCATATACCATTACAAAAATAACTTATTTTTAATTACTTAAGCCTTAAGCAGATCTAACAGTACTAACAGGTTAAATCATCTGCAAACTATCAAGAAATAAAAGCTCAAAAATTATTTAACAGTGTTTTCATTTGCATTCCTTATCATAGCGATATTTATGTTTAACAATTTCAGCTAGAGATGCCTCAACTTCATTGTTTTACAATGGATTTAACCAAAAAGCCACCAGACCCTGAGGAGGTAAAGTTAAGCACTAATAAGAACATTTAGAAAATGACTTAGGTTGTTTACAACTTTTATTAAATTTTAATGCTTTCATAGATGTTGGAGTCCTTTAAAAATCATCAGGTGTAATCCACTTTCAATAAAGATGTTAAGGATTCTAAAATCAAGTCATGATATTTTTAACAGGTCAATGCAAAGCTTTATGTGACCTTCTTGTATATATTGAGGGCCAATGATCAATTTATTGATCATTCTGGCTCCTATGACCTGACATCAGTCAACAAACAGTACAAAGATAGAATAAAATTGAATTGAAAATAGAAAAAATTTAAAATCAATGTCATGTCATGATAACTGATATCTGGATATTCAGGTTTCTACTGTACTACTGTGAGCTATTCATGTGTCATCAGTGTAAAAAATATTACAAATGAAGGCAACAGTAAAGTATAGCCTAAATTAGATAAAATATGTAACTAAAAACTTCACAGAATATCCACAATAAGTCATTTTAGCAAAAGCCGAAGTATATTCAAGCTACTAATTCATAAAACGATATTTGTTGTCTTAGTAAACACCATATATAAAAAATATTATTATAAGTTCAGCTACACTGCTGTTAACAAAAGTTTTCAATTAAATACTTCACACTGACATTAAGGTTACATGTCAAAAATCAGGTCCAAATTGATGAAGATTTAAAAATGAAAGAAAGAGAAAGACGGAGAATGGCTAGAACCATCAACAAAATGTACCAACTGGCAATGAGTAATTCTGCTGTTACAGCCAGGTAAAGTCTCATTATACAAAATATAGATGTTTAAATGCTATGCCACACATTTTCTAACTTTGATAAAAATAAAAATATCAGATTGCATTTGAACTGTGAATTTAAGTATTATGAAAATAAAAATACATTATGAAAACATAAATATACATTAGAAGTAAAGTAATTTTCAAACTCTAAAGGGCTTTTTCTTTATATCCAGAATAATGGGTCAGCATGATGAAGATGATATGAACATGTTGATTAATGGACCAGACTTGTGTGATGTGGTAAGATGTTATTCCTCAACATGTTCTGAAATCTGTTTAACTTGCCTAGAACTAACATTTTCTGCTGAAATGTTACAAAGTATCATGCCGCAAAACCCTTAATTATAATTGATGTAAAAGTATTAGTGTAACATTATTATGTAAATAGTTTTTTGTATTATCACATTGTGCTTTTTATAAAAAGAATGAAATTTAGATGGGGGGAAAAATTAAAAAAACTGACACAAAAAAAAGAACACTAAAATTATTTCATTTTATCTATTTCTATTAGCAATGATTTATTTTGTCTACACATTTATATCAAAGTGATGACTGAAGCTATATAAAACCATGTATAATAATAATAATAATAATATCTTCTTAAACACATATAATCCGCTACCCATATTAATCCTTTTATATAGATAGCTGATCACCACTGGATGCAAGCATATGGCCTTCATGATAACTCAGCAAGGAATATATCCCAAGAAATGGAGGAACCACATCAAGGTCTGTCACTGACAGAATCAAAGCTGCAGCCACTACCAGGTATATCTAGTAGACAAACCACAGCTTCCTCCATTAAAAGTCGATCAGTATCAGCCTCCAGAAATGGGTCTCCTGCAGTGGAGAGGTAATAAAATATTGATTTCTTTTTAAAATGTAAACCAGTACTGCTTTGCTTTAATGGAAAGTATGTATTTATATGTTTCTATAAAAAAATAAGTATTCTGCAAATTATTATTGAATAGCTCTTTAACGATCCATATTACTGCCTTTGTTATGGTCCAATAATAGAATAATTTCAATAGATTTATATAAATAAAACAGTACAAGTCATTAATTCATGAGTTAAATTGAGCCCCTGGCTGACTTTGGATAAGGGGATTGTTCTTTCGTGTATAAGCCAACTATGAACAGGGAAATAACTCTGCTGTGAATCTCTGGCAATGTTTAATTTTGAGGAATGCATCCAAAACCTATCATGAGATTTTTCCTGAGCCTGTGAACAACGGCTTGACTATCATTACTCGACCAATAATTTTTAAATATATGCATTTTAAAATATAGAATTATAATATTAATTTAATTAATTATTCCCCCTACAGCCCAACTGAACCAGATGAAGATAAGCCTATGCTTCCTTTGACCATGAATGAGATCAAAGAAAAGTGTAACATTGTGGTAAGTGAAATGTACTTTCTGTTACAGCACCGCTTCCTGACTCATGGGTTATGTCCCTAAAGGGGGTTGTGAAGAGTTCACTGACTGAAACACTAGACTAAAAGTAAAAGATTTTTAAAGCAATTTTTATTTTTTTAATTGGTGCCTTTAAGTTAAAGATGTCTAACATCATTAAACTCCAATTTGATTCTGCACATCTCTGTGAGACTGGATTTTCAATGTTTTTTCAATGTCTACATTTGAGAGAGAGAGAGAGAGAGAGAGAGAGAGAGAGAGAGAGAGAGAGAGAGTGAGTGAGTGAGTGAGTAGGTAAAACTTGAGTATGTATGAGGTTGGTATTAACTAAATCTCAACAGCTTTGTTTAACTTTAAAGGCTTGTAAGCAATGGGAATTTCAGTCACCACACAAATTTGTTTCCTTCATCTTCTGCTCCCTTTGCATTTATAAGGAATAAAGATTGGGAACCTATGTTGTACAAATTTAGTTTCTATCACTGAATTGTTTTGAAGAACACAAAACACAAATGACTGGTCCTTACCCTGCTCTGTAATTTAAACTGCTGCCAAAATACATGCCCATAAATTAAATGAGATTGCTGTTGTTAAAGAAATGTTGGATCAGGCTTATTATAAACTATTTGATATTTAAATAGCAATAATAAAAGAAGACATCAGGGAAAATTTGTAATTAGGTGTTAAGAAATATTTAATTTTTTTAAAATGATTTTTTCAGGAGGCCAAAACATTAAGCACTTTGTGGACAAACTACCTTAGAGCTGGGAAGTGAGACATCTTTTCTTATAAATAAAAACTTATGAGATGGAAGCCAGCAGTCAAGACTGTAAAAATATAGATTTCATGTCAAATTAATTTATTAATGGTTAAAAAATGTATGTTCTTTAAAAATGGGAATTTGAAAAATAAAAGTTAGTTTAAAAATATACTTTCAATTTCTTTATAAATTTAATTAAAAATTATGTTTGAGAGAAATAAAGATGGATATCTTGATCTTTGAGAGAAATAAAGATGGATATCTTGATCTTTGAGAGAAATAAAGATGGATATCTTGATCTTTGAGAGAAATAAAGACAGATATCTTGATCTTTGAGAGAAATAAAGATGGATATCTTGATCTTTGAGAGAAATAAAGATGGATATCTTGATCTGTCGCTCCCTTGTTTGCCGCTCCTACTCCTGCGCTCCTTCATATTCTGCTCCTACATCTGTCGCTCCTGCCTCTGCCGCTCCTAGCATGGGAATAACACACGTACATACACCAACACAGTTTGAAGAGGGTGGGAAATCTTATAGAGCTGGGGCGGTTTTTAATATTAGTTCAGATTGTTTGTCTGAGTCGTTTTGGGAAATTTAATTTTGGCGTAGATAAAAAAGAAAAACTCATTAAAACTAATTTAGTAATATTTAAAAAAATATGCATACCACAAGCAGGTTAAGCAGTGCCGTCGCTCGACTTTTCGGGGCCCCTTTCCCTTTTACCACTTTTGGGTTTTGTCCTGCCCCACCTTGCATTGAAAGAAGGTAAGTAAGATAATATCAATATCAAATTTTTAAGTACCTAAAATGTCAGAGGCCCACTGCAGTCGTAGAGGTTGCTTGGCTCACACGATGTTTCTAAGGTTAAGTGACACGTGCATTTTTGTTTTTGAAAAGGCATCTCTTTCGTTGCTCTCGAGGTGTAGAATGTTGCAAAACTGAATTAAACTATTTACTAAAATGCATTCTCGTTTTTGAATTTATGAAAACTTTTCTGGGTACTTTAAATATTTGACAGGCGATATTAAGCTAGGGAAAATGCATATTCTCAAGGGCACCACAACTGGAATGAATTTAGCTCATGTCCTACTGGTGCGGCGTTACAAATGTCTTTGACCATTATTATCGCTAACTTTGGCGCTTCCCACACGAAAGTTTGAAACGTCATCTCAAATTGTCCCAAATTAAAGTACACGCCAAAAATGCACCCTTGCATTTTAAATTTGCGTGACTGTCTTCAGCACCCTCAATTTCTGCACCCCTTCCCTCACGCTGATCAATGTTACAGTGTGGTTACAATATGGGGTTGAATGTTTACCCTGGGGCTCGCCAAAACTAAAGTGAATTCAGTTTATGTATGGCACTGGCACCATAATGCCTCCCTAAATCCAGAAAAATTTCCTTCCCCTTATCAAAAAGTCTAATAGAAACATGTGAATTCATCAATACTCCAAAAGGCATCTCTTCATTTTTAAATAATAAAAAAAAAGTTAAGCTACATATTCACCAGCACCCCACTCCTCCGTTGCCTACATATTTCACCAGCACCCCTACTCTTCTGTTACGCTACATATTTCACCATCACTCACTCCTCCGTTACGCTACATATTTCACCATCACTCACTCCTCCGTTACGCTACATATTTCACCATCACCCCACACAACTGTAATTTGTTGGAATGTTATTATTGCGAATATAATATTCTCACTTTTTTTTACAATACTTAAAAGTTATTGGTAAAAATGTTTTGTGATAGTTATTATTAAGTCAAACATATGCTAAAATTGTATAAAAGTGTTTAAAAAAAGTATGCCTTGTATAAAATTACGTTTTTTCAATAGTTATTATTATTATTATTTTTTTTCTCCATTTCTTAACTATTAATGTAACAGCTATTTTTTATTTGCAATTTCCACTAAATTTTGTCACTTTGTGTTTCCTTCTTGTCTAGTCTAGAACATTGTCTCATTAAATAGTGGAACAAGATATTTGCTTTGGTTTAAAAAGAAAAGTTATTTCAACGGGCGTTTTGGTTAGATGCCTTATTCTACATGTCGTATGTAAATCGAGAGTTCACTGAATATTATCAAGATACAAAAATTGCCGTTAAAAATTGTTATAACATTGCTGACTATTCAGTTGCAATAACGATATTGATATCAAATCATATTATTAAATATAGAACATTTTCAAAAATGAATTTTATTATGCGTATAGTAGGCCTATAATATTGTGTTTTTTTGTTGTTGTTGTTATATTTTAATAACAAAAATGATTTTTCCAAGCTTGGTTTGGTCTAACATTGTGTCACATCAAGAACAGTTGGATTTAGTTCCGATCCCAGCTAAGCACTGTGCCCCCGGGGGGGGGGGGGG